CTATTTACCTCTCTTATTGTTTCTCTTGCTGAGAAAAAACTTTTTAGTTTAAGTAACTCCCATTTGTTGATTCTTGTTATTAACTCCTGTGCTATGGGTGTCCTATCTAACAATTTTAATTTCTAAGATATTTTAAGTAGATAAAAATAAAATCAGCATTTTTGTTCAAAAATAGCTATAATTCAGCTATTATTTATAAAGTATCAGTTATTAAGTTATTTATCAACAAGCAAAAAAAACAAGGAAGTCACCCTTATCACAGTAGCAAAAACAAATTATCCCAAAGCTCTAACTTCTAGAAACTTATCTCATTTCCTAGGGTAAAGACTCACTGCAGAAACTGATATTACCAGAAACAAAAGATAAAAACTTGACTGAAAATAACCAAACAAAGCAACAGAACATTTAATGAACATTTAGGAACTGTTTTGTGTAAAAGCAAAGCACTTAACCCACTGCAATAATTGTTTAAGAGCATCTTTTAATTAGACCACCAAAAATCGATTTTCTGTTACCTGTATTATTTTGGAAAATTGTGTTGTTTAGAGAATTTGCCTTTTTATGTATGGTGTCAAATTCATTGACATAAAGTTATTCAAAATTGGCATCCCAGGATTATGCTTTTGCCATCTGTAGAACCTGAAGTTATTTCAAAACCCTTTTTCATTTCTCATATTAATTAGTGTTTTCTTTTCTTGCTAGGGTTTGTCAAGTTTATTTTTAAAAAATCAACAGCCAGGGCTGGGGTTGTAGCTCAGTGGTGAAGCACTTGCCTAGTGTATGGGAGGCACTGGCTTCAATCCTCAGCACCACATAAAAATAAATAAATAAAATAAAGGTATAATGTCTGTCTACAACTAAGAAGAATATTTTTAAAAAATCAATAGCCTTTGATACAATAGGATATAATTGTATTGATTTTCTCTACTGCTTGTCTGTTTCTATTTCGTTGATTTTAGTCCTTAATGAAGTTTTTTTTTTTTTTTTTTAACTTCTGTTTCATTTCATTTCTTTGTGGTACAGGAGATCAAACCCAGGGGTACTTAACCACTGAGCCACATCCCCAGCCCTTTTTAAAATTTTCTTTATTTTGAGACAGGGTCTCACTGAGTTAATTAGAGTCTCACTAAATTGCTAAGGCTAGTCTCAAACTTGTGATCCTACTTCTTTATCCCAACAGATCTGTCTGGATCAGTAGTTTCAGATTATCTCTGATAGTGGTGCACTGTGCAATTGCCATTGTTTTGTGCTTTGTTTAGGTAGCTTTTAAATATTTCAAAAGCTTTTGTTCTACCTAATCCATTTCATTTAAGTACTTTTTTAAAAACAGCATTAATTAGAATGCTTTTTAGATTGTAGCATGGGAGCTTTCTCCCTTGATATAACTATTAAACAGTTTCACAGAATTCTCTTCATTTTTGCTAAATGGCTTCTTATACCAAAATGAATGTTTTCCCCTTCATAGACTGGGCCAAAAATAAAGATGAAGTTAAAAAAAAAAAATTTAAACCACCGAAAGGAAGAAAACATTTTTTAAGGTCTAATTTAAAATTTTTTTTAATTAATCCAGCTTTTTTTTTTTTTTTTGTCTGATTCTAAATAGTTCTTACAGCTGCATTCTCAGATGTTCCTTCTAAGTTCAGATGGAAGCACAGTTAGTCTACTGAAGAAAGATCCTGTCCAGTCTAAGTCTGACTTCCAAAGTACTGATCAACAGAGTTTCCACTCGCTGGCTTTAGAAGCCCCAGGATTAAGTGATAGCACTGCCTGTTCCCACTGGTTTGATATAAATGACTCTAAAGTTCAACCAATCCAGGAGAAAGATATTGAACAGCAATTTCAGGGCAAAGAAAGCGCCTACATGTTGTTTTATCGGAAATCCCAGTTGCAGAGACCCCCTGAAGGTATGGAAAGAAAAGTTTTCCTGTTTAATAATTTTAGAAGGTAAACGTGGAATACTGTTGAGTTTTTGCTTTTTTAATAGAAGGCTTACTCTGGAAACAAAAAGTAATATATTATGCCAAATAAAATCTAAAAATGTATCTTTTTTTATAAAGATTATATATTTCTATTTAAAATTATCCTCATAATAATATGAGGTCACAGTTATAAGATGTTTGAAAATGGATTTCCTTGGGTTACATGGTCTTTTTCCATGTTGGCAGTCTGAGTGTGATCACACTAGGTTCAGACGCAACTGGCACTCGGCAGCCTTTGTGTTAGCCTTGGTCTTATTTTCTCATCTCCGCTTAATTTTCCCATTTATTTTTGCTTTTGCCTCAAAGTAATGTCCTCTGATCAGTGGAAATTTCTTTGAAGTTCTCATTATTGAGCCAAGAGAACTTAAACCATGGAGGTTAATAACCATTTGCGACATTTAACAGTAAAGGGTATTTTTTTAATTGAAGCTGTTAACATGAATAAATCAGGAAGACTTTTTGATCATTTCCTAAACATAAAAAAATGCTAAGTAGGAAATCTTTTTTAGATTGAAACATAGCTATGATTAGAGATGAAGAAAATGTTCTCAATGAGAATAGTGATCATTTTTTATAAAAAATAAGAGTAAAGCACTTACAAATTTGCATTAGAATCGAAAGAAATTATCTTTCTAGATCTGAAACAATTATATGACTGCTGTTAACCAAAACTGCTTTGTATTTTTCTGAGAGAAAAAAGGCATGGTAATGGTTCTGATAGAAATACTGTGGATCAGAATTCACGATTATAGAAACAGAAAGGGAATGTCTTTGGATGGAGTATTAGTCTCTCTTACCAGATTGACAGTGAGTGTGAGCATACTTGGACTTTGTACCAAACAACAGCTTCTGGGTAGCTGAGAAATTAAATAAAGGTCCAATCAAAGTCTTGATGGACTTTGGGGAATAAACAAAACAATTCTAAAATTTACTTGGAGAAATAAAAATTGAAGAAGGGACTACTGGGGCTGTTTGTAGTATAAGTAAAAACATGTCTATAAAACTGTTTAGCAATGAAGACAGAGCAATGCTAACACTAAAATCACTGAAACCTCAGTGAGCCCAGGAATCAATCTCGGCATGTCAGAGGCTTTAATCCAAGGGAAGAAACTCCTTGGATAAATGGGAAAGTGAATTACTTAATAAATACAACTGGGAAGTTGTTTTGTTGCTAGGGAATTAACTAAGACATTTTTCTCTATTCTACCAATCACTCAAATGAGATGATAGCTCCTTTATATAAAAATGGAATCTTAAAATATGAAAACTTGGGCTAAGGATATGACTCAAGGGGCAGTACGCTTGCCGGGCATTCGCAGGGCGCTGGGTTTGATCCTCAGCACCACAAAAAATAAAATAAAATAAAGATGTTGTGTCCACTGAAAACTAAAAAATAAATATTAAAAAAATTCTCTCTCTCTCTCTCTCTCTCTCTCTCTTTAAAAAAATATATATAAATTTATTTGATTTTAAGATAGAAAGGACCTTTCTAAACTAAAAGACTAAGAAAAAGTGACGGAAACTTCAAATGACAAGATAATAGAAAACAGTAAAATACATGACAGATTTATTTTCCCTATCTGTAAAGTGCTCTTCCGTGTATTCTATGATGCTCCATAGTAAATTTGGGAAAAGTTTATTAAAAAGCAATGTACAAAAGAAGAAATTCTTATTTTTCAAAAATATTTCCAACCCAGCCCATAATCAGAAAAACTTAAAATAGGAAGGAGATGCTTCTAGTTTCCTACCATGTCATACATTTTTGTGAATCTGGTTCCCAGCAGCCAACACTTCCTCTGCAGCTGCTACGTATGTAAACGGATACAAACAATCAAATGTGTATATTTTTAAAAGCCTTAGGGCTGGAGTATAGCTCAGTGACAGAGCACTTGCCTTGATTGTGTGCGGCACTGAGTTCCATCCTCAGCACCACATAAAAAAAAATAAAAATAAAGGCATGCTGTTCATCTACAACTATATTAAAAAAAAAAATTAAGAGCCTTAAAACTACCTCATCCTTTAAACCAGTAACTCTCACAAGTTTGACATGAAGTCATCAGAGCTGTGTATGAATATTATGTTCAAAGATGTTTGCTGCCTTATTGTTTTACAGCAGGGACTACTTGAAAAACTACTGCAATGTCTAATAGATTAATTATGCTACTTACATAGAATAGGCTACTATGTAATTATTTATTTAAGGCTGTGGAAAAATACAATTTATGAAATCAGAAAGCAAGTTACAAATATATCAGCTATAATCCCAATTATTTTTTTAAAAATACATGTGTTGTGCATGTTTGTGTGGTGTACATACATGTGTGTTTTAGGAATGAGATTACATATAATACTTTAAAAAATAATTTCCAGAATTTTTACAGTAACCAATTATTACATGTGTAATTGGGATGAAAATAGTGGGTTTTTGTTTTTTTTAAGTTAAAGAGGGGTGAAGAAATAGAATCCTTCTAGTTTGGCTCAAAAGCTAGCTGCCTTTCATCTGTTCTCCTTCCTTTCTTAGGTTGGAAAGCCAAGGTCTGGGAAAGTCAGCATCTACACAGCTGGTTGGCAGCACTTTCTCTGCCCCCGCAGCTCCCTAAGTTCTCACATTGCCTTTCCAACACCCAGATTTCACTTATTCAGCACAATTAATGATAGGTTTTGTTCACAGCTCTAGCTAACCCAAGATACAGGGTCCCCTGTCACCTGCTGAAAGAAATGGATGCAGCCAACATTGAACTGAAAGTGAAAAGGTAATTTAAGTTGCTTTTAGAGTTTGAGTAATTTTTCTGGAGAATGCAGATCTAATTTAGGCCTTATTCATTCAGTAATGAAAATTTAAAAGAGTACTCAACTAGTTAAAAAACACCTGTTTGGCTGTTGAATTTTTATAGTGGAGGTATCATTTGCTTTGGACTGACCCTTATCTGTAAAACTGGACATAAAATGGCTATTGCCAAGTAGGGACCAAAGCCTAAGAAGACTTGGGAAATAGGCAAGCACACAGTTGGACAAAGTGAATTATATCTTGTCCTGGCCAGGTTATCCCTTGGGTACAAAGAAAGCTTGTCCTTAAAACCACCCTCATTTTTAAGTAGCTGTGGAGAACTGAACATAAAGTGACAGGAGATCAGAGATGGGAAGATTTTCAAAAGGAAGGAAATGTGGATTCTGTGAACTGTTAGATTTAGTATCAGTCTTGGACAAAAACCCATAATGGATTCTTGAAGCTATGGCTTATAAGAATTTGACATGTCAGCATTCTCTTAGGGCTTGAATCCTGAAGAACTGGGTCTTATTTGCTCACTGACAGGGCCGTAGGTATCAGGTAGGGAAATGGAAGTGTACACATCTCCTTGTGAATTCATGGGGCCAATTATGTAGTGGGAAGGTGTTCATCATTTTAATCATGGACTTGGACCTGGGAGAAAAAAAATAGCAGGAACATTGAATGATACACCAAAACCAAAGAAACTCTCAAAAGAAATGAAGAGGGCTGGGGTTGGGCTCAGCACTTGCCTGGCATGTGTGAGGCACCGGGTTCACTCCCCGGAACCATATAAAAAAATAAACAAAACAAAGGTATTGTATCCATCTACAACTTTAAAAATGTTAAAAATAAATAAATAAAATCTATCCAAACCTTAAAAAAAAAAAAGAAGACACTAAATAATATAAATGGAGTGTGAGTTGGGGTTTTTGGTTTGGTTTGGTTTGGTTGGTTGTTTTTGTGGTGCTGAGGATTGAACCCAGGGGTACTTTACCACTGAGCTATGTCCCCAGCTCTAATTAGTTACCCAGGCTAGCCTTAAATTTGTAATCCTCCTGCCTCAGCCTCCTACATAGCTCAAGATGTTTGTGCCAGCAGCTGCACGTATCTTATGCAAAAGCCCAAGGAGTCTAGTAAAGTTGGGATGAAGCAGAAGTCAGTTACATGAGCAAGTGTCTAGCATTTGTCTACAACTATAATATAATCTCAGGATTGGAAGGTTTCAGGTGTCAGCATTTGATCAATGAAATGTGATTAACAGTGCAGGGAAATAATTTTCCCTTGGAATTCCTGGAAATGTTGCTGATGATTGAAAATCCAATATGTGTCATTAAAAAAAAAAAAAGAAAATCTAAGATGTATCATTTTGGCAGGTAGAAGAAAAGGATGGTACTTAAGTAGAATGGAGAATTTACTTGTATTGTAAAGCAAATATTTTGGTTTGAGATAAAACACAGTGTCATTATAAAAGCATAGTGTTGATGTATTTTGTGTGCTTCTTTGAAGGGCAGAATGTGATTCTGCAAACAATGATTTTGAATTGCATCTTCACCTGGGCCCTCATTATCGGTTCTTCAATGGGGCTCTGCACCCAGTAACCTCTCAGGCAGAAAGTGTGTGGGATTTGACCTTTGACAAAAGAAAAACTTTAGGAGATCTCCGACAATCAATATTTCAGGTAAATTAGCTTAATGGAGGTTTTTAAATCCATCTTGAGCTGGCTTCTACATTTCATCTTATTTAGGTTAACAGCTGTTTTTCAAAGCTGCTTAGGAAAATCCTACATCTTCAGTTCATAGAAAGGTGAACCAGCAGTTCTCCCCTATTCCTGTGCACTTCCCATCAGCAGCTTTTCAAATAGAGCATTGGACTGGCACCTTTTATTTGGGGGCCCAAAAAGTATATAGTTTCTTTTTGGGAGAAATAAATGAAAGAGAATTATTTTTCAGAGGGAATGAGATGGTGAGCATATGATTAAGACCAAGAACCACTAAACAAATAAGAGCAACTAATTTTGTGCCTTTTGGTATATAATAGCATTTATTAATAAGATTTTTTTTTCCTTTTGTGTGGTGCTAGAAATGGAATCCAGAGCTTTGTGCATGCTAGACAGACACTCTTAACAGTAAACTGCACCCTCTAGCCCTAAGACTAGTATCTACTAATGAAGAAAAATATCTATTAGTCTCTAATTAAAAATATCATCATAATCATTGTCTTAATTGTTTATCCATCTATGTTTTAATGATGATGATAATGATAACAGCAGCAGTAGTGCTCAATATTTTACTTACAGTGCTTTCACATGAATTTTACAATTTGGTTCTTTAACCTTCTGAGGGCAAGCTAATTTCATTTTGAGGATGAAAGAAGTTGTAATTTACAGAAACCTATATTGCCATTGCTCAGCCTTGCAGGACGGTAGTGCGGTTCTGGTCTTCCCCTCTTCATCTCTTGTTCTTTTCCATGGTCATGATTCTTCACCCGACAAGAAAAAGGGAAATAGAAAATGTAAGCTTTTGGGGTTTTGTCCCCAAAATAAATGAATTTGCAAAACAATGGTATCCCTCACAAATTATCAGCTTTCTTTAGATTTTTTTTTTCTACTAAGAAAAGCAAACCAATTTTCTTTTTTAAATAGTTGATTTTTGTGTATGTATGTGTGTGGTGCTGAGGATTAGATCCAGGGGGTACTTTACCTCAGCATTTTTTTTTTTTTTTTTTTTTTGAGATAGAGCTCACTAAGTTGCTTGGGGCCTGACTATGGATTTGAACTTTCAATCCTGCCTCGGCCTCCTGAGCTGCTGGGATTGTAGGCATGTGCCCAGTCCTTTTTTGTTCTAATTAGTTATGCATGACAGTGGAATACACTTTGATACTTCATACATAAATGGAGTATAACTTCTCATTCTACATGCTATAGAATCAAACCAGTCGTGTAGTGATACATACAATAAGATAATAATGTCTGATTCATTCTACTATCCTTCCTCCCCTTCATTCCCCTCTGCCTAATCCAAAGTAACCTTGTTCTTCCCTAGCCCCTGCCTTATTGTGAATTAGATGTGTATATCAGAGAAAACATTTGGCCTTTGGTTTTGGGGGATTGGCTTATTTCGCTTGGCATAATATTCTCCAACTCCATTCATTTACTGGCAAATGCCATAATTTCATTCTTCTTTAAGGCTGAGTAATATTCCATTGTGTATATATATATACCTTTTCTTTATTTATCTGTTGAAGAGCACCTAGGTTGGTTCCATAGTTTAGCTATTGTAAGTTGAGCTGTTACAAACATTGATGTGGCTGCATCACTACAATATGCTGATTTTTTTCCTTTGGGTATAAACTGAGAAGTTGGGTAGCTGAGGAATCTTCATACCACTTTCCATAGTGGTTGCACCAATTTACAGTTCCACCAGCAGTGTATGAGTGTGCCTTTTTCCCCATATCTTGCCAACTTTTATTGTTGCTTATATTCTTGATAATTGCAATTCTGACTGGAGTGAGATGAAATCTTAGAGTAGTTTTGATTTGCATTGCTAGAGTTTTGAACATTTTTTAATATATTTGTTGATTGAAATATTTTTTCTTCTCTGAAGTATCTATTCTGTTCCTTAGCCCATTTATTGATTGATTATTTGGTTTGTGTGTGTGTGTGTGTGTGTGTGTGTGTGTATGAAGTTTTTTGAGTTTTTTATATATCCTGGAGATTAATGCTCTGTCTGAGGTTCATTGGTAAAGATTTTCTCCCACTCTGTAGGCTCTCTCTTCATATTACTAATTGTTTCCTTTGCCGAGAAGCAGCTTTTTAGTTTGAATCCATCCCATTTATCAATTCTTGATTTTACTTCTTGCACTTTCGGAGTCTTTTTAAGGAAGCCAGATCCCAAGCCAGCATAGTTTTATTTTTATTTTGAGACAGGGTCTTACTAAGTTGCTGAGGCTGGCCCTGAACTTAGGATTTCCTGTCTCAGCCTCCCAATATCTGAGATCCCAGTTGTATACCACCAAGCTGGGCCTTCCTTTTTGTGCATCTAGAGAATAAGAATTAGCAGGCTGGGGATGTGGCTCAAGCGGTAGTGCGATCACCTGGCATGCATGCGGCCTGGGTTCGATCCTCAGCACCACATACCAACAAAGATGTTGTGTCCGCCAAAAACTAAAAAATAAATATTAAAATTCTCTCTCTCTCTCTCTCTCTCTCTCTCTCTCTCTCTAAAAAAAAAAAATTAGTGTGGGCTTGAATCAGTGCCAATGATATGAAAAAGTGTGGCTCTCGGGGCAGAAATTTGTAAGCTGGCCTGCTGAGCGGTTTGCTTTCTGATAAAAATCATTTTCATGTAAATACAGTCATTCAGATGTGGAAGAGATCAAGAATGGAAGAGGTTAGCCATCTTTAGATTTGACTAATATAATGAGAATATTGTCTTCCAAATTTTTGGTGTTGGGTAGGGATGGGATGTTCCTCTTCTTGCTTTCTATGTAAGTCGGCACAGTGTTGTTTTTATTAAATCTGAAAATGTATTCATATGTTACTTTTCATTTTTCTCTTCCTCAGCTACTAGAATTTTGGGAAGGAGACATGGTTCTTAGTGTAGCAAAGCATGTACCAGCAGGACTTCACATTTATCAGACACTCGATGGTAAGATAATTATGAAAATACAACTAATTTTGTTTAAGTTGTAGATGGACACAATACCTTTTTTTAATGTGGTGCTGAGCATTGAACCCAGTGTCTCTCACATGCCAGGCAAGCATGCTATCATTGAGCTTCAACCCCAGCCCCACAACAACTAATTTTATGTATTTATTTTTGTGGGATTCACCTGTGATTTCTTCTTTGCTAGTATTTCCCCCACCTACTACTTTTGTAACTACATAGCTACCTTCACACTGTAAACTTTCAAAAAGAAATAATCTAATTTATAATGTACCAAATTTATGTATGTGAAATCTTCCTAACAGAAGTAAGGCACCTTCCTTCCTTCCTTCCTGCTTCCTTTCTTTTTTTTTTTTTTAATTGCTGATGGACCTTTATTTTATTCATTTATGTTGTGCTGAGATTGGAACCCAGTGCCTCACATGTGCTAGGCAAGTGCTCCACCACTGAGCTACAACCACAGCAAGTAAGGCAAATTTCTTAAAAATGTTTTTTAAATGCCTTAGTATTTTTACAATATTACCATGAACTTTTGCACAAAATGGTTTAAAATAATTTGAATCTTATTTATGTGGCTTGATTTTCCTCTACGCAACTCTCAGCGGAAGATTTTATAGCGAAACAAAAGTGTTCCGAGAGTTTAAAAGTATTTATTTCCTTTAAATAACATAAACAATGATAACAACAGTAGTAATAGTAACATTTATTCATTATGGACTTCTCACTATACCAGATCTTGTGATAATAGTTTTATGTTCATTTTTCTTTGATTTTCACGAACTTCTTTTACCCCCATTTCATAAATGGAAACACTGAAGCTGAGAGGCTTGAGGCACACACTTATAGCTGGTTGGTGGTAGAGCCAGGGCTGCTGCTGCCTGCACCTAACTCCTGTTCAGTTCCTATTGCAGCCGCTGTGCACTGCCGCACAGTCGGGCTTTGTCCTGGCTAGTCCTGCCACCATGCTTGCAAAGTGATGTAACAGCATTTTAAAGTAAAAATAAAAATGAGATTATGATAAAATATTTACATGTCCCAGCTCTTTCCTCAGCTAGATCGTTTCTGATGATCATGATTAATGGTATCACTACCCTTTCTAGGAGATGAACTGTCGCTGTGTGAAATTGACATTGCTGATGGGGAAGACATCTTTGTATGGAATGGAATGGAGGTAAAAAAAAAAAAAATCACTGAAAAAAAATGATAATTTTGGATTTTTAAAAGTCATTGTAATGAAATTTTATCCACTACATGTGAAGGAAATTAGACATTAGAAAACTCCTGAAATATCCCTACATTTTAGTCCAGTCAGTGGTAATTGCATATCAAAGAGAGACAATTTATTGAGACTTTCCTTGTGCCAGGCTGTGTGTCACATGCTGGATGCGGAGGTCAGTCAGCTTCCTTCAGGCACTCACAGCGTGAACAGCACCATAAGTGTTGTTGTAGGGTGGGCATAGCACCTTCTGGTATCAGAGGGCTTGGCTAGCTGTGTTGAGTTAGGGAAGGTGGAGCCTTGGAGGAGGAGAGTGAGCTTCCTGTCTCAGAAGACGCAACCTTGGGCCTTCTCCTCACACCCACTGATAACTCATTAACTCCATCTCCAGTCCAGATTTCTCTCCTAAGAAAGAAAATAAGGATATGAGACGCTCTTAAACAAAATTTTTAAGTTGTTCTTCTGATACTTAAAAAAAAAATTGAAAATTTTATTTCACTTGGGAAGAGATGAGGTTTGGGGTTTTGTTTATTACAAGAATAGTATATCATTACTAGTGATGATGTTAATTTGACAAATACGAACTATGCCAGGTTTTTCCATACTATTGCAGGTTGGAGGAGTCCAGATTGAGACTGGGATTGACTGTGAGCCTCTGCTGTTAAACATTCTTCATCTGGAGTCAAGTGGTGAAGGCAAGAAGCGTGGGCGACTGATAGAATCGCCACATGTCTTTCCTGCTAATGCGGAAGTGGGTACTGTGTTCACAGCTGCGGCCATCCCAGCAGGCATCATCCTTGTGAACAGCGCCGGGTCTGCAGATGAAGAGAGCTGGACTGCTGTGCCCGAGGAAGACATGAAGAAGACGTTCAGAGAGCAGGGGCTCAGAAACGGAAGCTCCATTCTAGTTCAGCCTCCTAATAGTGAGGATAGGAGGTAAAAGATGAAAAGGGAGAATTTTTCTAAGTTATTTTAATGATAGTATCATCCAATAGAACTCTAAAGCTTTATTTTAATAATAAGAGTTAAATGTTTATTTCTAGACATATTCTAAATATTGTATATAGGGATGTCTTATGCAACTTAAAGGGGTAAAAATGTTGAAAAGTGATTTTCTTATAAAAATGGTAACAAAAATAATATAGATATTCCTGGTTTTATAGCCTATCTGTGATCTAAATTTGTTGGCTATAAAGCAAAATCTTATTAAATGAATTCTGATTAGCATAAGTTATAAAAAATAAAGGCATATTCTCACAGAAAATTCCTGAAATTCTACATGAAAAAGGTATTAAGAGTATGGCTAAATTATGTTCGGATTTTTTTTTAAATATATTAATTGACAATCTTTATTTAATTTATTCATTTATATGTGGTGCTGAGAATCGAACCCAGTGCCTCACACATGCTGAGCAGGCACTTTATCACTGAGCCCCAGCCCCAGCCCTATGTTTGGATATTTTGGTTTTTGTCTTATATTGTTTTTGTTATTTTGGTTTTTGGTGCTGCATCTAGAAGCCAGGGCCACACCCATATGCTAGGCAAGCATTCAATCAACCACTAAGCTGTACTCCTAGCCCTGGATATTTTTTTCACAGAGACCTGTAAGGCAGTTCAGTTTTTTCTTATCATCTCTTTATGATACTGAAGAACCTCCTGGCTGCCCAGTTAGAGAAGTTAGCTGCAGAATCACCCCTGAAGCCCTGTGGTCATGTTTGCACTGTGCCACTTTTGTTACCCACATGTGGGCCAATACATCTCTATGGCCAGTGTGTCCTACAAGCATAGCCCTGTGGACTGAGTTTGTTTTATATGACATTTATCACTGATACTCTTTTGAACAGGTGTCTTGCAGACATGTGTTTCCCCGTCTTGTTTACAAGAAAGTTTATTATATAATCATTTATAAAGGTGATCTGCATTTACTAGGATCTAGAGAGTAAGGAAGGGAACACAGAGGAGACCTGAGGTAGCAGCCCCGATGCAGCATCAGTCACTAGGGCCTCCAGTAGCTTTCCTTTTCTTCTGAACTCAACCCACTGTTTTGAAGGGTTTTTTATCTTTTTCAGAATAATGATTGTGTTGTAGTTTTTCCTGCTTTCTCCTCTTTCCAATGTTTGTAGATGTTTTGTAAATCTCATTGGATGGTTACCTAATAATAATCTTTGTGTGCCTGGCAAACAGCACACTGCCTCTCCGAGCCTGATAGGACAGCAAGATGCGGGGGGCGGGAGGGTGAACACTTGGGAGCCAGCTGCCTAGGTTTCTTCCCAGTTTTTCTACTTATTGCCACAGTGACCTTGGACAAGTAGTTTCATCTCTCTCTCTCTGTTCAGTTTCTAATGTAAAACAGAGGTGATAATTAGTGAGAGTTTTTTAGTCATAAAGAACTAAGTCCTCAGAGCATTTGCACACAGTGCTAAATGTTTTTAGTTATCATCTTCAGCAGCAGCAGGAGCAACAACTGCATCCAATTTTCTAGTTTCAAGATAATCTTCTAGGGAACAACTTGCACTTCAAACTTTGTTGTATTTAGGATTGCTAACTTGAGGTGGAGTCCCAGGGTGGAATAATTGAAATAAAGGATAGAATTGTGTTTTAGGGCGCTGATAAAATGCCCAAAAAGGACTTCTGATGGCTCATTTTTTCTTATGGCTGAAGGAAGATTTGTTAGAACATAATATTCTGCTGCCAACTGCTAACATAATAAAAAAACAAAACTCTTAAAAAGTGAAAATACAAATATATAGTATATGCAATGCTTGTAGCACTCCTGTGATGTGGCTGATGTGACACTGTTGTGCAGTGACAGTTTGCTCACTTGTATTGGCTGCCCTGTTATATCTGAATCCCAGGGTATGGGCTTTGGCAGTATTTCAAAGGTCCCCTAGGGTTTTCAGTGTATACGCAAGAGTGAACAACTGAATGGTCACTTCCCAACATTTCCCCTTGAAAACTGTGGCACAGAATATTTGCACAATTTTAAGTCAAAGAGTATTTGAAAGCTATAAGATTATGGACTGAATGGACCGTTGCCTAACATTACCCTAAAAAGAGCTAACTTTTATAGAGACAACTCAGTAAAATATGATCATCTTTCACTAGTCTCTTTAAGGCATACATGCAGAGTTTTGGAAGTGTGCCTTAAAAAGGCATTAATTTTCTGATTCATAAAAGCGCCACAAAAAGACACATTTTTAATGTCTTTTTACCTTTACCTACAGTGTGTTGCCCAAAGAAGGGAAGTGGATGAATGGTATGAATGAGATCGACTGGATCCAGGTTAAAAATTTATGCCAGCTAGAATCTGAAGAAAAGCAAGTTAAAATATCAGCAACTGTTCACACAGTGAGTAGATCATCATTAAAATTTTACTGATAGTTTTTCAGTTAATAGAATTTTTGTTTAGACAGCACTGTTTAAATTTCAGAACAGTTCTCTCAGTAGACTTCTAAATCTTAAGAAATCAATTTTTTCATATTTAACACTTAATTATTGCCTCCCTGTACTAGCCATGGGTCTATTCCAAGGAAATATGTCCCGTTCCCCATCCCCCATCCATGCCCCCACCCCCACGCCCATTTTTTTCTTCCCAACTCCAGAGCCTAAAATTAGAGTGTGGGAATTGCCTATTTAGTTAGTTCATGGAATCCTCTAGTTTTGATGAGTACAAAATGCTTTTTCAAGGGTCTTTTCTGTATTTTTTAAAATCAGGTAGATATGTGTGTAAATGTGTATATGTGTTTTGTTTTTGTGTTGTGGGTTTTTATCTCAAATTGCTCTACCTTATACTCTGCTTTATGTAAAGCCAACTACTCTTAAAAGGAATTCTCTCCAGTTTTCCATTTGAAGAAGATGATACTGATTTCTTTAAACATTATCTTTTTATACTTATGTAGTCCCAGTATAGTTTTGTTTTTTGTTTTTTTATTTTGGGGGGTTTTTTCCTGTAACAATTTAAAAGAAACTTGTTAGAATGGTGTTTCCTTTTACATCATTTTTATAATTTCTTAAGGTTCAGTGCTGATACAATAGAAGGGAGAGTACAAGACCAGGGTACTAACACTCAGCAGACTAGTTCTTGACCCTAAGCTGGAGACTTTGGTGAAGTCCTTTATTACTTCAGTCTGTTTCTTCTTGACCCCATATTAGATACTGGTGGAAGGTTAGAGGAGATGGTGTGTAACATCAGTTTTACCACTAAATGTCCATCATTTTATGGCCTACAGGAAATTAGCTTAAACTAGGTATTGTGCATTTTTACATCATTTATGCTTTTGGGCCCTGGAATGTGATAATTGCCTCCAGTTTTTTTTGTTGTTGTTGTTTGTTGTTTTTGTTTTTGTTTTTGTTTTTTTGGCTTTGATCAGAAAGGTGAGTGGCTTCCTGCTTTTCAGCTATAACTGTTTCTTTAGTCCTTTTTGTCCCAGTTAGCACCATTTTAGTAAAAATTACTAAGATCTATTCTGACTAAAAGGAACTAATTTTAAACATTTAAAATTTTTAAAAAAAGATTTATTCTGAGCTTTTGCTATTGATCTTGTAGAATTTCAGAGATGGGAAAAAGCTTTTTCCAAGTTGGAAAAATACATGCCAGGTGGTTCATGTCTCAGCTGATGTAGGTGTGCACACGCTGCTGGTCTTCATTGTCATCTCCTCCTGTTCAACTTATACACAGTCATTAGTTTATTTCTCTATTTTAGGTGGTGTTTGATATTCGAATTAAAGCCATAAAGGAATTAAAATTAATGAAGGAACTAGGTAATCATTTACATTTGCTTTTGGTTTTTGGTTTAATTTAGTTTGGATTTTTTGTTGAAAAATATATGGGAAAGTACAAAAATAATTTAGGAAAATCTCATGCACGTACCACCCAAAATGGACAAATGTTAACATTTTGTCATATGTTTGTTTTTGTTTGACACATTATAAAATCCTTCATGTTCTCCTTCTCAGACCTATTCTCCTTCCCTCCCCAGATACAACCAGTATTTTTGATTTGGGTGTGTATATAGACATTTATACATATTGTACCATATATTATAATTACATATGTGTGTATACATATATGTAGACAGATTTGTCATACTGAATACAACATTCTGCAACCTTACTATTCACTCCGCATCATGTTTAACAGTTTTATTGAGATATAATTTATATACAAAATATTCACTTTTCTTTTTTTTTTTTTTTTTTTTTTTGTGCTAGGAATTGAATCCAGAAGCACTCTATTTATCCCAGCCTTTTTATTTTTTTATTTTGAGATAGGGTATTACTAAGTTGCTGAGGCTAGCCTTAAACTCATGATTCTTCTGCGTTAGCCTACAAAGTTGCTGTGATTAGAGGTATAGGCCATTGTGCCTGGCTAAAATTCACTCATGTGTAATTCAGTAATTATCAGTAAATGTATAGAGTTGTATACCAATTCAGTTTTTTTTTAATATTTATTTTTAGTTGTTGGGCACAATACCTTCATTTTATTTTTTATTTTTATGTGGTGCTAAAGATCGAACCCAGGACCTCGCACGTGCTAAGCAAGCACTCTACCACTGAGTCACAACTTCAGCCCTACCAATTCCATTTTAAAACATTTCTGTCACCCCAAAAAGATCTCTTATACCCATTTGTATTCTGAGCCCGTATCCAGTGACTAATCCACTTTCCATCTCATCAGACTTGATTTTCTTGACATTTCATACAAATAGAACCATACAATCTTTGTGTGTGACTTCTTTTACTTACCATACTATTTTTTAAGTTTGCCCATTATTTAGCATTTATAAATAGTTTATTTCTTTTTATTGCTGACTAGTGGTCAACTATATGGACATACCACATTTTATTTGTTTATTCACCAGTTGATGGACATTTGGAATACTGCTGTAAACATTTGCATGTAAGTCTTTGGCTATTTATTTTCAGTTCTTTCAGGTAGATGCACAGGATTAGAACTCCTGGGAAATTTATGTTTAACTTTTTACGAAAACTGCCAAATGATTTTCCCAAGTGCCTGAACCTGTGCGTTCCCAATAGCAGCGTGTCAGTATTGCAGTTTCTTCATACCCTTGCCAATATTTGTAGTTATCTTTTTATTATAGCCATTCTAGTGAATGGGAAGAAAAATTAAACATTTTTACAAAGACAAATGTTCATAACCAAAAACTGGCCACAATCCAAATGTGCATGAGCAGGTGACTAGATAGACAAATTGTGGTATAGCCAGTCGGTGGGGTGCTATTCATGTCTGAAAAGCAGCAAACTCCAAGTTCTGCCACATGCAAAATATGTGTGAATCTCCAGTCATTATATGAAAGAAAATAAATGTAGAAAAGTATATTCTGTATGATTCCAGGAATGTGAAATTTTAGAAAAAGAAAATTTAAGTCATAGCCACAGAAGGCAGACAAGGGATTGACTAAAGTGTGACACAAGGGAATTTTGGGGGTGATACAGATTTTATCTCGGTTTGCTGGTTTTGCTGAATGTTTATATATTTATCAAACTCTATGAATTCTACACTTAAAATGGATGTTTTATTGTAGGTAAATTATAATACCTTGGTAAAGTTCATAAAAAGTATCCATTTTATTAAAATGAATGCTTCTTTACCTTGTCCTGTAGCTGGTCTCCCCCTTCTATTCTTGCTCATGTAGCAAGTGATTCTCTTAAACCTGTGAGCTAGACCTTGTCACTCCTGTGCTCAGGGCCCTGTTGTGCTTCCCTTGCACATAGGTCAATTCCTTAATGCAGCCCACGGGAACCTGCGTAACCTTACTGCTGCTCACCCTGGACCTCACTGCAGTCCACTCTTCTGCTTTCTCATCACACACCCAGCAGGCTGCCTTCTTGTGCTCTCCAGTGAGGAGCCAGCCCTGCTGGCACTGCTGCAGAGACAAAGCATTTCAGTCCTCAAAAGTTTCTGATGTTGTAAATAAATGTATAAGTGTTAGCTTTGCTATTTTTTTCCTTTTCTCTACATGTATAACCAACAAAGAGTTTTAAAAGTTTTGGCAGATTTTTAAGTCATAGACCCATTGGAACATTTCCACTGATTATTAAAGTGGATGCACAATTCTATTGTGTGTTTCTATAGTCCAAACTGCTGTGCAGAGTGAAGGCTGCCCAAATGTGGGGGTCTTTTGTTCTTTTATTTTTTTTAAATTTGGGTTTTTTACTCTATTTCTGCTAATTAACACTAGCAAAGAGCATCTCTCTTTGGTGAATAACATGCTTATTTTTATTTATAGCTGAGAACAGCTGTTTGAGACCTATTGATAGAAACGGGAAGCTCCTTTGTCCAGGTTAGTCTTGTTGGTAGCTTTCATCCACTGTTGGTAGCTGACATCAACTCATTCCATCCTTGTTTCTGTCTTCCCCTAAGCAATGGCTTCCAATACCTAATGCTCTCTTTTTTGCTTATTTCTTTTTTCTTTTGTTCTGGTGGAGGGTGGTTTGGGCATTCAACCCAGAGCCTTGCACATGCTAGGCAAGCAGTCTACCACTGAGCCTCACACCTAACCCCCTGCTACTCTTAAATTACTTTCATCGAGGCATCTTATCCATGTGTTAAGAAAACTTTAACATTTTTGTTCTCTGAAATGAAACACTTTCTGATGCTCTAGTTCTTGTTTTAGTCATGGTTTGGATCTCATTATCTCTTTCTAGTCTTATTTCTTCAGTTTTCGGTGGATCATTCCTGCTTTTATTGTTATACTGTATGGAACAGAGTCTTTGGTTCTCACCTAACACCTTTCATTAGATTGGTGATTTAGTCATGGATGAGCCTATCATTATTTGGTTCTCACTGCCACTTGAAACATGGAAGAAGTTAGTCCATTGTGATGGATTGAGTCTGAACATCTCTTAACCCAGATACACAACAGCTATTTGACCAAGTCATTTTTTTATTAAGTATAAGTTTTAAATACTCATAGCTGCCTGTCAACTTCTTTGTATTATACAGATAATAATAAAGTATGAAAATTGAAAATTAAACATAGCCACTATCTGTGTAAATTTTTTTGCATGAAGTGCAACTTTTTATTTCTTTTTTAATATTCTTGGGTGTGGGGGTAATGTGAAAATTCATTACTAGTATGGTGATGCTGAGGATTGAACCCAGGGCTTGACTAATGCTAAGCATGTACTCTACCACCGAGCTACACCCTAGCCTCTTTCTTGACCTTCTTAATTTTCAAAGACTATCTACTTTGATGTAATATTTTGCTGAGACATGGGAATTCAGAACATCATCATTTTCTCAAAATTCTTTATAGTGCCAGATGGTTCCACTTTGAAGGAAGCAGAAGTGAAGATGGGGAGTTCTTTGGGACTGTGTCTTGGAAAAGCACCAACTTCCTCTCAGGTACAGTAAGATACCTTTAGGTATCCCCCTTCCCTCATCAGAATGTCTGAATTTGTAACTAGTAACCTACTCCAGTAATACTGGTGTTACCTAAAAGTTTTTTGTTGTTATTGTTCTTACTGCTTTAGGAGTATATCCATATAGTTTCCTGTGTTTAAATAAAAAATGTTATGTGAAAGTATATTTATAAGGTTCTTTCTCTGTAAAAATTTTATTTTTAAAGGGGATGTTTAAGGTTGAATGACCACCAGTTTCAGCCACTTTGTTTCATAAATTCTGAGATGCACTTTCCCCCGCATGTTAACACCTATAAAATTAGGAGGCTCCGGTGTCAGTGGCATTCTGCAGTTCTGCTGGCATTGTTGTGGTGTGGTTTTTTGTTGTTGTTTTTAGCGGTACAGAAAATGATGAGTCTTAGCAGTCAGCATCTTTTATTTAATGGAATACAATATATTGATTTTGGATTTAAAATTACTCTCTGCGATAATGTAATAGTTACAGTAGCCTCCCTTCCCTCTCATCTTTATCAGTGTTCATTTTCTGTGTAAAATGCTATCAGGTAACGTTGCCAGAAGCCCTACCTAGTTAATAAACTTTTATTATAGCCCAGAAGTCATAATGATATCCTTATTGTTAATATCCTGTATCAAGGCAGCCTATGACATTAAATGTCTCAGCACAGTCTCGTTTTACATAACTTGAGGGTTTTCATTTTGATTTGTTTGTCTTTGCAGTACTGGGGATGAACTCATACATGCTAGGCAGTGAGTTACCACTGAGCTACATCCATAGAACTGAGTTTTTATTAATGTTTCTTGGGCCCTGGGCTTTTGGGGGAAGTGAATAATGCAATCATATGATTTTTAAGTTCAGGTTAAATTGCATCTATACTTCTGGCTTGCTCTTAGCTGTTCCTGTTTTTTGCTTGGGGGACTAACATTCAACCTGGGACAGAGATGGAGGTCATAGTAGAAGAAACATTGTCTGTGAAAGAGGTAAGTAATTTACTTTTTAGTTTAGGACACTCAGTATTTGGTGTGGGGAGTGGTATCCTGCGCTAGGTCCTAAGATGAGGTTTACATATGTACTTGTAAGAATTATGTGTGTTCACTAGAGGTGTGGTTCAGAGAGCTTGAAAATTAATTGGCAAGCCAGCTGGGATGTTTAAGGAAGATTGTTTCTACTGTGTTTTTTTTTTTCCTTATCTAAATATCAGTAATACTTATTATAGAAATTTGGAGAATGCAGAAATTGATTAAAACAAAATTCCTCATATTTCTTATCCCACTAATAGTAACAATTCAGTATATTTTCTTCTGGTGTTTTCACTTTTTTTTTTTTCCCTTTCTTTTTTAGTTGTAGACAGACACAATAGCTTTATTTATGTATTTTTATGTGGTGCTGAGGATCGAACCCAGTGTCTCACACATGCAAGGCAAGCACTCTACAACTGAGCTACAGCCCCTGCCCCTGGTGTTTTTACTTTATATACACACATAATGATACATACACAGATATGAATTATGTATATGAATGAGTATGATAGAACATGAATAATTGTATTGGTATCATCGAGAACTGGGACTTTTGGTATTGTAAAACAAAGACACAGATAAAAATAAATGTGGTTAAATAAAAACCTCTACTCCTAAATTTGAATTAAAAGAGTCTGAATAAACTTCACCTATTTTTACTTTTTAAAAATTGTTTGTTTTGTTTTCTTTCTGGCTCTGTTCCCTGACATAGCTTAGAAACAAAACAGCCCTAGCACCCAGATTATGATTGCAAAGTACCATTTCATACTAAAAGGAACCAGGCACCTTGAATTAAGGGCTGGTTCTGTAGCCCTAGTCACAAAATGTGTAAGCTAAACCTGGAACATGTTGTCATCACAGAAAGTAATGTAGCTACTAATAAAGATTTATTGGAATTATCAGAGAGACTTAGGAGTCTAGTCATTAAAGATGAGACAGTTTGAACATTAGGGAGAATAATAATTAAAGTGTATACTAGGTAAAATTATTATAAAAATTTAGTATATGTAGAAATGGATTTTTAAAAAAAATTAAAATCCCTCATCCCTTATCTGTGTATGAATGTAAATTCATATATATTCCCTGTCTACATATGTAAAATCTTGATACCACACACATAAAATCTATGGGCAGGCTCATAATGACCATAACAGGAAATATTCATTGGTACCTACCATGGATAAAAGAGAAGCGAAATAAGCATTTATCTCATTTTTCCTCTGTAAATTATACCTCAAGGTGGCTCACTAGATAATATTTTTCTATATAGAATATATTCCAGCTAATAAAGAAGAAGGAATTTTAGAGCATCAGTTTTTCAATTTCTAATTAATAGGTCAAGATAATGATCTTTAAACACTGAGAATAACCCAAAGAAGTGCAGCTCTTAGACACTCTAGAAGCTCTAGGATACCCTTACAAAAACAAAAAAAAAGGCTGGGGCTGTAGCTCAGTGGCAGAGTGCTTACCTAGCATGTGTGAGGCACTGGGTTTAATCCTCAGCACCACATTACAAATAAACAAATAAACTAAAGGGATTTTGTCCATCTGCAACTACAAAAAAATATATATTTAAAAAAAAAAAACAACCTATGTGTCTTATCAAGCTACTGGATCTGACCACCAATTTTTTTATATTGTTTTTAATATATATATATATATATATATATATATATATTTTAGTTGTAATTGGACACAATATCTTTATTTTATTTATTTTTATGTGGTGCTGAGGATCGAACCCAGGGCCTTGCATGTGCTAGGCAAGCGCTTTACCACAGCCCCCACATATTTATTTATTTATTGTACTAGGGATTGAACCCAGGGGCATTTAACCACTGAGTCACATTCCCAGCCCTTTTTATTTTTGTTTTGAGACAGGGTCTCACTAAGTCGCTTAGGGCCTTTCTAAGTTGTACTTGAACTTGTAGTCCTCTAGTCTCAATATGCGTCCACCACCATGCCCAGCCTGACTAAAGAGAAAGTAGGGAAATTTGAACTGGGTATTTGTTGTTATTTACAAATCCTTAATTTGAAAAACAAAAAGTTCTGAAGACGTTAATCACTTAAGGTTTATATTTTTAAAAGAATCCTTATCTTTCAGAAATGCATGCTAACTATAGATGAAATAATATGTTATCAGGCATTTGCTTTTATTTTTTCCCCATTTTTTTATTGGTGCATTATAATTGTACATAATGACAGTGGCATTTACTTTTAAAGAATCTAGGGAAGCTGAACACAGTTGCACACACCTGTAATCCCAGCAACTCAAAAGGCTGAGACAGGAGGATCACAAGTTCAAGGCCAGCCTGGGCAACTTAGTGAGACCCTATCTCAAAAAATAAAAAGGAATGGAGGGCTACGGTTGTGGCACATTGGTAGAGCACTCGTCTAGCATGCGTGAGGCACTAAGTTCGATCCTTAGCACCATATAAAAATGAAATAAAGATATTGGGTCCACCTACAACTAAAAAATAAATATTTTTTAAAAAAGGAATGGGGATATGACTCAGTGGTTAAGCACCCTAGGCTTCAGTCCCTAGTACCAAAAAAAAAAAAAAAGAAGAAAAAGAAGAAGAATCTGGGGGAAGGACAGGAGGTGGATGTAAACAAGACTAGATATGGCAATAATTGAAATCGTGGGCACTTGAGGAGGGTCATTTTACTAGTCTCTGCATGCAGTTGAAATTTTCCATGATAAAACATTTTTTACCCTTATTCTAGACTGTAAATATGTTCCAAATTTTTCATTGGCCTTTTGTGTATCTGTGTGTCTTTTTGGGGGGTGGCTACTGGAGATTGAACCCAGGGTGCTTAATCACTGAGCCACATTCCCAGCCCTTTTTATTTTTTATTTTGAGACAAAGTCTCGCTCTGTTGCTGAGGCTGTTTTGAACTTGGGATCCTCCTGCCTCAGCCTCCGGAGTGACTGGGATTACAGGCATGTGCCACCACATCCAGCTTTTATTGGCCTTTATTAACATGTATTTTTTTCATTTCAAAGAAACCACAAAACTATTCTGAAGAGTGACACACATCTTTTTCTTCCTGTGCTCTCTCAGCCCCATTGGGGTTCCATGTAGCTCTTCCTCAGGCTTCAGGGGGCCCCCTCACTGCTGCACCCATCCACGAGCATCCAGTCTGTTCTCACCCTGCTGTGTGCATCCTGTCTGCTCCCAGCACTCCATGCTGTTGCTGGCTGTACTAGGAGTTTTTGTCTGTCTTCTGGGAAGTTAACGAACTGAGAAGTTAAAGCTCTTCAGGTTTTCCTTCCAGTCCACCAGCCCATCTTTCTCAGCAGCTTGTTCTTTCCCCCTCTCCCCCTTGCCTTTTGAACATTCTGCTACAGATATACTTGGACTGGGCCTAGCCCCAGAGCATCCAACTGCCACCTAGGCTGTCTGAAATCCAAACTAGAGCACATCCCAGCAGGCCTCCTGGCCTCCTGAAATGTCCTCCACACATGTTTTTCTCTTCTTCAGCTAATGGCAGCTCCAATTTCCTATCTGCTCTGGCCAAAACCTTTATGCCCCCTTGATTCTCCTTGTCTTACTTCACATCCAGTTTTTCAGGACCTTCTGTTGGTTCTGCCATCAGAATGCTGCTAGGATCTGGCCACATCTCACTCCCTCTACCGCTGTGTCCCTGTCGAGCACACCACTGTCATTCATCTGTACTGTTCCACAGGTTCTTAACTGATCTCCTTGCTTCTAGCCTTGAACCTCCCAGGGTCCATTTTTATAAGGAAATTGAGTGATTTACTGTTTTGTTTTCAAAACTCTAGCCCCTACCCCACTGCTGGCCTCCTTGCTTTCCTCCAAAGCCCTTAAGTTCGGGTCCCCTGCCTGGAACACAGTTAAGATGAATGTTCTGGAAAGCCTTTAAGGCTGCAGTTTTCTTTGAATATAGCTTTTCCCCGTCACCCATGCTTTAACTATTGTGTTATCATTGGCGTTATTTTCTAAATAACCTGTAAACACATACTTATACAACTAATTATAAATTTATTCCCAGTTTTTGAACTTCAGGGGGTTAAAAGTCTCTGCTGATCACCACCTCCCTTATATAGAAGGCACTGAGTTGACTGACATGTGCTTATCAATAGAGGTGTCCTCCCAGAGCACATGCCAGGGTACATAAAGGAATGAAGAACTCACTTTGTGTGTATCATGCCTCATGCACATACTAGACCTTTTTAAGTTCACTTAAAATATTTTAAACATCTAATACGACATATAAATCTGTTTTATTCTTTGAACTGCTAAGATATATCTTCATTTTTTAAATGTTCACCCATTAATAGATATTTTGATTAATGGCCACTGTTTTCTTATTCTGAGCAGTACAAGAGTAACCTTATTTTTATTTCCTTTTGTTCTAGGATAGTATAAACAAAATTTTATTTACTTTTGACCCAAGATTTACTTTGGAATGTTTTTCCCTCAAAAAGTTAGAAAGTTGTTCTATTAAAACTTTTGTTCATATTTTCACATTTTTGCATTATACCATGAGGGCACAACTTACACAATTCTTTCCTTGTGAGTTTATGTGTGATCATTTGTGTTTAATGGCTTCTAAATAAAGGTCAATCTCCTTTTATATGATTCAGAGGTTATTATGTATCTGTGAAACCAGCCTTATCAATAATTTGATCAAATCACACTGTTAATCCTCATGGGAAGGAAGTCGTGGCAGAGACACAGAAGGCAGTAAATGAAACTTGGAGCTGAGTCCTGGTTGGAAACACCAGGAAATGTTTCTCCTCCCTGAACTGACCCCCTCCCAGCTCCTAGGAAAGAGAGCTGGCTTGTCGATCATCTTAATTCTATGTGCCTTTGTCTATCCAAGAATGATGAATATAATCAGACTTAAGGCCCAGGGTTCAAAAAGGGTGTTTCTTCTTATACTATAATTCAGAAACAAAAACTAACTTTTTTTTTTTTTTTTTAGTGTTTAAAGATAATGCTTGAGAAATCTTGTCTGCCAGGTAAGTTATTTATCATGATGACATAATCTTATCCACATTCTTCAAACAATTATCTATATAAGCCTAATAAAAACTTTTCAAACTTTCTTTTTCACAAGGATTGTGGAAAAAAAGTTTTATAGACTGCAGGAAAAAAAAAAGTAGTTTAAATTTCTGTGTCTTCATAATGAATTCCTCCTGGTTCTATTTACAAACTAAAAGAAAAGTAGTTTTAGGGTTAGCCTAGATAGAATCCAGCAAGGATATAAAAGAAAGAAAGCTAAGATTTTTACCACCTGGAGTTATCCACATCTAGTTCCACTGAAACATTTTTAGTCTTATTGATTCAGAATTTCAGTGCATCTATTTCATGTCAATATATGTGTATAATAGACTAGGGAATGGAATGTGAATGGAAAAATTTAATCCAGAGTAACTTAGCAGCTTCCTGGGTGCAGTCATGGCACTGAGCTTGATGAGGAATCATGCTGCTTTTATTAGAACAGTTTGTCCCTCAGACACCATTGAAGTTGGCACCAGTGTGTTATCTGGAAGGGATGTTCACGTGCTCTGGATATAGGGCTGTCCTGTAGAAGTACACAGGCAGTGTCTCATTGAATCTCATTGAATCTCAGCAGTAGCCCTCCCAGGGGGGGATGGTCACTCGTTCCCATTTCACAGACAAGGAAACAGGCTGTGAAGACTTAAATGGCTTGCCAGAGTTCCCCGGCCAGTAGCTAGGCCTCTGCTCTCAAGGTCCAGGTTCTTCCCACCTTCTATGTTGTGGACTAATGGTGCTCACTTTTAACTGACTAGTAATTTTATAAGGTACTTAAATTAATTTGAAATTGATATAAATCTTTCTGAATTTAAAACTAATGGTTAAAAAGGATCTACAAAAAAGTGTGCTGCAGGGGTTCAGAGACTGGCTGGTGGAGATGAGTAAGAACTTTGTATTTATTCCTTTGCCCATTAAATGGTTTTGGTGCTACAACATCTTGCTCATCAAATAATAGCTGGGGTTTTTGTTTGTTTGTAATAATCAGGGTTTCTAATTTTTGCCCCATTCAACTTTTTCCCCATTCAAAAAAAGTTCTCGTTTGGGGAGTGAGCAGCAAACAAAGGTACTGAAAAAGAGAGATCTGATTTAAGTCTATTTAACATTTATAAATTTTCTTTCACATCAGTTTCATTCAGATACTCTTCAGAAGGTTCTAATGCTGTGTTGTTTGATTAACTGCTAAGAGGAGGAATTTTCTTGTACAATTGCAGTTGCTGAACAATTTTAGCATATACTTCAGCTATGACAAAAATCATCTTTAGTGCTGGGGTTGTGGCTCAGTGGTGGAGCATTTGCCTAGCATGTGTGAGGTACTGGGTTCAATTCTCAGCACCACATATAAATAAATAAAAATAAAAGTCCATTGACAGTTTAAAAAATTGTCTTTACAAGAGATTTGATATTTATATATATGTATGTCTATATGTATAGTGATATATGATCTGTATATATGTATACATGAAAAGAGTAAGGGTACAAAGTAAATATTGTATAATAGAAGCCAAGTGTTTTTAGTCACAAATACATATATGAATACGTTGTTTTTATTCACAAGTTCTTGGTGAAAAAGAAAGCAAATTAACCAAATTGAGCAGGAAAATACAACTTTTCATGCTCTGGAAGAGATCATTTTAAAAACTAATGATTATTAGCAGATTAAGCCCCATTTGACATTTCATTTATCCAGAATGGTTATTCCTACTGAATTCTTAAAACATACTCTCTGGGGTTTTTCATCCTAATATTGATTTCTTCATAGGAGATGCGTGGCATTTAAGAAAAATGGACTGGTGCTATGAAGCTGGGGAGCCATTATGTGGAGAAGTAAGAGGATTTCCATACCTTCTGCTCTGAAGATGATTGCATTTCATATAGGATTTCCCCTTCCCGCCCGACTCATATAAAAAAATTTCTAGAGAAAACTTTCACTCTTTTTTAGGAAACAAAAAGCTAAGCAAGATCTATTTTCCCTTTCTTTGACTGGTTTTTCTGATACAGAGCAAGTCTGGGCTAGGTGGAGGTGTTTCTGACATATGTGATCGGCCCTGCTGGTGAGAGAGCATGTCCTAGACCAGTGCTCCACCAGGAAACAGAGCACTTCAGAGAGCAGAGGACACTGGAGCTCATGAAAGCATCTAAAGCACACTCTGGGTGCGGGGGCAGTACTGGAGTTTGAACCCAAGGCCTCACACATGCAAAGTATGCACTCTTATCACTGAGCCACATTCCCAGCCCACACTGAATTTTTTACCCCTTCATATTTTAATCTCAGAGTTTCTCTGTAAGTAAAGGATGGTAGAATTCATCTTACCAGATAATCACTTGGTAGTGGTCCAAACTCTGGGTGCAGCCAAACTCTTAGGGTAAGTTTAGGAATAGTTTTATCACAGGATAATTTGAATCTTGTTAAGCTTCTTATTGTTCGCCCAAATAGCACCAAACCTCCCAGTCCAAACCCAGGGCCTTGTAAGGAGGCCAAGTGAAGCTTCTTCCCAGAAACACTGTGGTCAGCTGCCCCTTTCCAGCTTTCACCTGCCTGCTGTTCACTAATAGCTGCTTTGAACAGTCGAGGGCAGGGGTGCTGGGGCTTCCTCTGGAATACTAGATCAAGAGAAGCCTCCTTTGAGTCTTGGTTTGGATATCAGAATATTGATTCAGATAGTGAATTATTCACTATCTGAATAATTATTTCCCCAGTCGGTATCAAACACTTCATCTAATATTAAAGTCATTTCCCTCAAAACTGTCTTCTAGATTTGCCCTTTATTTCCCATCCTAACCTTTTCAGACTAAAATATCGCTTACCATACCTACCTTTCCCTCCTTCAGGTTAGTCTCGTACTTCAGGAACCTGCCAGCCTTTCCAGCCCTTCCTTGGCCATTTTCCTGCTGGCTCCCATTTCAAGCCACCCTTTGCCTCTTCTCTACATGGCTTCCCTGGGCCCAGGCATTTCAACCACCTTGGTCTTGAGTGCCGCCTTTATTTTTGTTCCACATCACTTCGGTTGGTGCCCACTTTTCCAAACTAATTTCTTTCCCATTTTTCTTCAACTGGTACTTCCCACTCAGATTTCAGTTTCTCAGCTCTTTGCTGAAACAAACCATTGTTATTGTCAGTTTTGACTCTGCCCTTGTTCTTTTCTTCATAAGAAACCCTCTTCTCTGGAGCCCTCTAGCTTTCCAAACAATTTTAGGTATGATTAAAATTTTAGGTATGATTAAAATCTCATGGGGCACAAGTCAAGTCTGTCCTCACCCATCTCGGTTGTCTCCCTATCCTCAACCCTTTGAAGATACTTAAGGGTTTACACACCACAATTTAATATGTAATGCCATTCTGCTTTTGTAGTCCTAGCTTACTTCCTTTGTCTTCAGTATCTACTTTGTTATTCACTTATTTATTTCTTGAAAATGTATTAGAGGTTAAAAAAAAAAAAGAGCCTATGGTGTGTTTATTCCTCTCAGAAGTCTTAAGTGACAAAAAAGAATTTCTGTGTTCCCAGGATGCAACATTGCAAGAGCTTAGGATATGTTCTGGAGACACATTGCTTTTAATTGAAGGAAAACTTCCTCTTCCGGTAAGATTTTGCCTCTAAAATAGACATTTTTATAATAACAGTTATCGTTCTGAATATTCTCATTGTGGAAAATTAGGGAAATATAGTCATAAAAAGAATAGAGAACTTTCCCAGAATCCTACCTATAAATATTTTATAGATAGATATTTCCTTCCTATAAATATTTCTAAATAAAATTAAAATCAATTATATGTAAAAATTTTATTTCATCCTTTTTATAGTTAACATTTTAACCTGATTATAAAACCCAGAAATAGTTATATCCAAGGTAATGATTAACTGCTGTTTAATTCACCTATATTCCCAGTGTTGGAAATTTAGCTTATTTAAAATTTTTTTGTTCTTACAATTAGTACTTAAATATAAAACCTTCTATCTGGGAGTGGTGACATACACTGTATTCCCAGCAACTCAGGAAGCTGAAGCAAGAGGATCTCAAGTTTGAGGCCAGCCTGTAATTTAGCAAGATCATCTCCAAATAAACCTAACATCTCCATCCTAACCTTTTCAGACTAAAATATCTCTTACCATACCTACCTTTCCCTCCTTCAGGTTAGTCTCATACTTCAGGAACTTGGGAATGAAGCTCAGTGGTAGAGCAACCCTGGGTTTAATTCGCAATACCATATATACACACAAAATAAAGGTGGAATTACTAACTCAAAAGGCATGAACTCTTTAAAGATTTGATGCTACAAATTGCCAAATTGTTTTCCTAACAAGTCTTACTAAATTAATAACCTTGTTGGCAAAGTGTGTGAGGACTTATTTTATTGCTCTTTTATAAACATTGCATGTCACTACTCTTTTTTTGGCAGGGGGTGGGGGCGGGGGAGCACTAGGGATTGAACCCAGGGGCTCTACCACTGAGCTAAATGCCCAGTCATTTTATTTTTTTATTTTGAGACAGGGTCTCACTAAGTTACTGAGGCTGGCCTTGAACTTGTGATCCTCATGCCTCAGCCTCTGAGTCACTGGGATTATTTTTCAAAGGTGGAGATATTCTCAGGGCCTTCTGCATAGTAGGCAAGCACTCTTGCCACTGAACTATGCCCCTAATCCCATAATTTATTTAACAAGTCTCTGTTTTTGAAAAACACTATAAAAAATATATAGGTGCTATTTTGCATATGTATGATAAATTCCTAGAACAGAAATTGTCCCACCAAAATTATGGCCTACAATAATGTGAACATCTTCTAAAGATGGACCGTAGGTCATAGTTTTTGCTCCCATAAAAAATTTACACTGGTATACCCTGTATACATGGCTTCTTATGCATGCACATGTATCAGAAAGTAAATTGCTAAGCGTGGAATGGCTTACTTAAAGGACTTGGATTTTAAATTTTGACAGATATGACTAAATTCCTCTCCAAAAACCACAGTTCATGAGCTTTAAGTTTATTCATACTTTCACCAACATAGCATATTATTCGATTTTCTGAGTTTTGACAGTCTGCTAGGTGAAAAAAAAATGGAAATTGGGTGTTTTGACTTACATGTATTTATTTAGGTTGAATATTTGTTAATCTTCATCAATTTAATTAAGAGATTGTACTATGCATTTTTTTAATATATATATTTTAAATATTTTACAGGAATGAGCTCTGTAACTACAACCTATTCTCTCTCTTAATGAATCTAATTTCTTCTATACTTTAAAAAAAAAAAAAAGAGATGGGGCCAGGTGTAGTGACGAACACCCATAATCCTAGTGGTCCATGAGGCTGAGGCTGGAGGATTGTGAATTCAAGTATAGCCTCTGCAACTTAGCAAGGCCCTAAGCAACTCAGCGGGACCCTGTTTCTAAATAAAATACAAAAAAGGGCTGGGGATGTGGCTCAGTGGTTAAGCATCCCTGGGTTCAATTCCCAGTACCAAAAAAAGTGGGAAGAACTAAATTAGTAAAACTGACTTTATGGGGCATGTATGAAGACAATGGGTTTGTTTCATGTGGTTTGCTTCATTTAACAAATGCATTATGCCAGAGGTGCTCCCAGTGCCTGGAAGCAGTGGTGTGGCATCTCTAGGCAAAAACAGTAAGTATAATCATGGCAGTTGGTAAATTGAGAAGGAAAAATAACAACTTTAAGTACATTTTATGCCATCCATAATTTTTTTTCTCTGTGTGGAAGCGTTAAGTGAAGATTCTCTTTAATTTTTGTACATCACAGCAATTGAAAATGTTTATTAGTTCTAGCTGGAAATGGTGGTGCATGTTGTAACCCTAGTGACATGGATGCTGAGGCAGGATGATTATGAATTTAAAGCCAGTCTGAACAACTTAGTAAGAACCTGTCTCAAATTTTAAAAAAGATCTGGGAAGTAGCTCAGTGGTAGAGCACCACTAGGTTCAGTTCACAGTATTTAAAAAAAAAAAAATTATACACACACACATTCATATAGATATATAGATACACACACACACACACACTCTCTGTTTTTCAGGGTTTCCTGAAGGTGCCCATCTGGTGGTACCGGCCTCGTGGTCACTCAGGACACTGGGAGAGTCAAGACCAGCCTTGTACCTCTTCTCAAGGCAATGGCTGGAGAGCTGCTAGCACCCAAGGTGAGGACAGAGTTAAATTTCCACAGCCGGCCTGTCATGGAGAAGTGAAATGCCGCTTCTGCTCTGGAGTCAACAGACATTTATTTGAAAAACGCAAGGTTGAAAACCAAAGCCTGTTTATTCCTTTTTAATAAGAACAGCACCACCTGATCTCATGCAGTGCTTTGCAACTCTGTAAAGCACTATATCTTAATATTATATCAATATATGATACTTTTTCAAAGATCTTTTAAATATCAGCTCTCAAGATCCTCAGGGCAACAGAAGCCTCCTTGTCACCATGTATCAGAATGTTGGGGCTTCGGCCTGTTCCGTTGTCCACTGGGCAGAAGCCAGAGCTGGGATTCACATCCTGTGTGTTTCGTT